TCAACACAGTTCTGGAAACATTAGCCAAAGCAATTAGACAAGAGAAAGAAATAAAAGGATAAAGAAATAAAAAGAAAGGAAGAATTTAAATTATCATTATTTGCAGATGACATGATTCTCTACTTTCTTCCAAAAGACTTTTAGATTTGATAACCAAATTCACTGGATACAAAGTCAACACTCAGAAGTCAATAGGCTTCCTGTACGCAAGTAACAGACTCACGGAGAGAGAAATTAGAGAAACAACCCCTTTCACAACAGTATCTAAAAAAATGAAATACCGGAGGTCCCCAGTCGCATGGAACACGCAGTATCAGTCCGCTGCAGACAGGCAGGTCTATGCACGCCCGACCGAGGTCCCGAGTCGCATGGAAGATGCCGAAACACCCCGCTGCAGACAGGCGGGTCTGCCCACGCCCTACCGAGGTCCCAAAAAATGAAATACCTAGGAATTTCTAAACTGAAAACTATAGTACTCTGAAAAGGGAGACTGAAGAAAATACCAGAAAATGGAAAGATATCCCTTGTTCTTGGATAGGAAGAACCAATATAATGAAAATGGCCACACTTCCAAAATTGTTATACAGACTCAATGCAATCCCAATCAAAATCCCAACAGCATATCTCACAAAATTAGAAAAAAACAATCCTAAAATTCATTTGGAACCAGAAGAGACCTAGAACAGCAAAGGTAATTCTGGGCAACAAAGGCAAAGCAGGGGGAATCACAATCCCTGACTAAATTGTACTACAAAGCTATGGTGATAAAAAGAGCATGGTACTGGCAAAAGAACAGACCTGAGAATCAAAGGAACAGACTAGAAGATACAGAAACAACTCCAGACATACTCAGCTACCTTATCTTTGACAAAGGAGCCAAATACCTTCACTGGAAGAAAGATAGCCTCTTTAATAAGTGGTGCTAAAAAAAAGTGGCTTTCCACGGGCTGAAGACTGAAACTAGACCCATATCTTTCACCACGCACTAACCTAAAATTGAAATGGATCAAAGATCTGAATATTAAAACAGAAACACTGTATCTGCTGGAAGAGAAAACAGGCAGAATGCTTGAGGACATAGGAGTAGGCAAAGACTTCATGAATAAAACCTATACTGCATGAGAAATATTACAAAGAATCAACAATTGGGGTCTCATCTTATTAAAAAGCTTTTGCACAGCAAGAAAAACCACCAAGAAAGCAAAAAGACAATCCACAGAGTGGGAAAAAAATTTTACCAGCTATTCAGATAAAGGACTATTATCTAGAATCTATAAAAAACTAAAAATATCAGACCCCCCAAATTTAAAGACCCAATGTAAAAATGGGCATCTGAAATAAAAAGGTACTTCTCAGATAAAGAATTAGAAATGGCAAATAAATATAAGAAAAAATGTTCAATATCACTGGTCATTCGAGAAATGCAAAATAAAACAACTCTTGCAATTCCATCTCATTCCAGAAAGAATGGCTGCTATCAAGAAATCAATCAATAACAAATGCTAGTGGGGCTGTGGGGAAAAAGGAACCTTTCTCTACTGTTGGTGGGAGTGTAGATTGGTACAACCACTGTGGAAATCAGTGTGGAGATTTCTCAAAAAACTGATACTAAAGGTTCCATTTGACCCAGCTATACCTCTTTCTTGGTATCTTTCCCAAAGAATTAAAAACATCATACCAGAGTAATATATGTACACCTATGTTTATAGCTGCATAATGTGTAATAGCTAAATCTTGGAAACAGCCCAAATGCCTATCAACTGACGAGTGGAAAAAGATGTGGGGTTTTTTATACAATGGAGTACTACTCTGCCATAAAGAAGGGTGAGCTTCAGACATTTATAGCTAAATGGATGGACCTTGAGACCACTCAAGCGAAATAAACTGGACACACATGTTTAAATACCACATTGTTTCTCTGGCGTGAGAAACCAAAAGTTGAAATAAGGACTGAGATGTATAATGGGTGTCGGGAAATGGGAAGAAAGTGTTCAAATGGAAAGGGGAACAAGGGAGAAGGGAGGGAGAAAGGAAGGAAGGGACAAGACAAAAAGTGAAGAGAAAGAGCTTGGGATTTAGCTCAGTGGTTTTGCCACCTGCTGCGCAAGGACAAGGACCCAAGTTCAATCCCCGGTACAAAAGAAAAAAAAAAAGTGAAGAGAAGGAAAAAATGGAAACAAAGTACTTGTACATAGGGAGGGGAGGGGGCTTGATGGGGGGAATGGGATAAAATTTATTTTAAAACTATTCTCACAAATTCCAATGGCAAAGGAGTGGAAAGATTAAAAAATGCTTTAAAATATTTCAATACTTGTACAACCCTCAACCTCAAAATATCCAAACATGAAGTAAACATTCTGAATTACATATCACAATCAGTTTAAAAGGTAAAATCTGAAATTAGATGACATTTCTTTCTGAGTGTCCTGAGTTTACTCAGTTAACTCCATAATATAATCTCTGAAGATTATCATTTCATTTTTTATTCTTTGTGCCCAGAAGAAAATGGGTGGTCAGTGAATCAGAATGAAAGAATGAACAAACACACACAGCTATGAATAGTTTATAGCAGTGATGGTGAGCCTTTTAGAGCTTTCAACGATAACAGCCCACTGTGGCACATGTGCCATAGGTTTGTCACCAACTACTAGTCTATAGACATCAAGGGTCAAAAAGAAATATGTGTTAGACATTGGTCTGCTTACAAAAAATGAGATGAACAGCTACAGTGAATATAAAAAATTACTTTCTTTGTACTGATGATGTATTCTGTTCATTACAGCTTGGAGTCCCAATTCACTACATAGCCAAGATGAACAATGAATTGTGACCAAGCTTGACAGCTTGCCTTAGAAGCCTTTTCTCATTCACTCAACGTCCAGTAGCAACCCCAATTCAAAAAGTCACTCCACTTCATATCCTAAGAGGAGCCTGGGACTGTTCATCTTGGTAGGATGTTGGAAACCCTCATAGCCTGCATCAGAGAATGTTGCAGACGCTTGCTCTGCTTCTTGGAAAAAAACTAGCTTTGTCCATATTTATTCCTGCTGCACACTTCTGTGCTTAATATAGTGAAAACCTTTAATAGTAAATACTGGCTGGGTGTAAGTTAGTATGATATACTAATATGAAGTACTCTGGGTGCTTTCTCCTACAGTCAGCATAACGAACATAAAGTTCTCCCAGTTCTGCCAAAGGGACATTTCCAACTGATCATTTTCCATTTCTTGTCAGAAGCCTAAGGGAAACGAAACGTGACTTTTAGAAAATATAGCCTAAGGGATGGTTTGTCTATCCATTCCTCTGCAAATGATGAGTTCTGTTCTTGGGGTGAATCAGGCCAATGGAAGGCAATATTCCTGAATCGCATGATGTTAGTCTTTCAAAGAAACATCTTCACAGTTCCTCAACACTGCGTGTTCAATGTTTTCAAATATCTTCTCTTTTTAAAAAATTTTCAATGAAACTAGAAAGTCTGAGTATCTGTTCATTACATTAATCAGTGACTAGAGTGTATGATAAACATATTGAGACATCTGCCTTAGAATTTGTAGCTAGGAAAACTTTCTGTTCTTCCTTGACAACTTTGTTTTTTTTCTTTTGCTACTGAGATTTATCAATTTTTAATGTTCCTGCACCTTTGGTTGGCCAGATGCTAAGTTATTTTATATTTAATCACAGCAAAAATTGTCTCCTTACTGTTAGCTTTTCTTTTCTATGACCACAATGCCAAATAAATCAGCTTCATTTTTTATTAGCAATTTATTGATCTAAATGTAGCCACCGGCCTTTTAGAAGCTCAAAAGCCAAAATCTAAACAAAGTTCAAAAATAAAGCTCCATGTATTCATTTTACTTTTTAGCTGAGCTCAAGTAACTACCAAAAGTACAGGGAAATTAAAATATATGATGCTTTTGCATGCATCATTTTGTATCTGTTTTTTTCAGAAGTCCATGAACATCTTTCTATGAGTTATTTTTCCATTTTTTAAACATGTTATCAAATTTTCTCTCAGTATACAAATTAAGCTGTCTCTATACAGTGTGTATTAAAAAGAACCTTTGGCTTGACACTGATATTGCTGTATATCATGATACTATATTTAAGGATCTCTTGGTTTGAAGGTAGTTTTCACTATAATTCTGTAGATAGAAGCAATAAGAAGCTTAAAATAAAAGCTCTTTGTATAGAACTAGAACTACATGTACTTTTAAAATCATAACTATGATCTAATGCTCATATATAAGGGATTAGCTAAATAAAATGTTATATAGCCATTCAATGAACTATTATAGCCCCCTCGCTTTGGTGGGATTGAAACTATGTAGCTTTCTTAAATGGGACAAGGATTCAGTTACTGACAATAAAAAGCTAGAAATACTGTTTTGTTAAGTTAAGCATGTTAACTTTGTTAAAGATAAGATTATGATTTTATATGAAAATGTCGTATTTTTTTAAAACACCTGCTGGAAATATACTCAGTGTTGAGACAGATGTCTAACCGACCATAAAATATTTCCATAGACATACAAAGAGATAGATAGATACACACTGATACACACATGCACATACACAAAAAGCAAATACAGCAAAATGTTAACTGTCACTGCGTCTAAGAGGTGGGTTTACTGGTGTTTATTATTCTTGTCTTTGGTGATTTATACATTTTAAAATTTCATAACAAATATATTTTAATGTATGTCTATCATCTATCTATTTTTTAAAAAAGAGATGTGTGCACACAATAGGTATAAATAATTTTGGGAAAGCTTTGGTATGATTATGCAGATGCACTCTCACAAATTTGTTCTCTATTTTCTTCTTTGTACTTTATTGTTTGCAAAATTTGTGCAAAAAGCATGGATATTAACTTTTATATTTAGAAAAAAATTAAGCTATTCCAAAAGCTTTCAATTCAGAACTCATTGCAGTGTTCTTCAAATAAAGACTCAGCATAAATATTACCAGGCTAACCCTGGAATGCTGGGTTCTGCTCTCACCTGTGGTGAAGACCTCGCAGCTTACAGCTTTCCGTCAGCATCATGGTTATCTGGATCTCAGAGGCATGATCTGTGTCCAGAAAAGAAACGGTCTGAATGGCCATGCCATAAACATATATATAACATTATAGATATGTTCTCAGCAAATGATTACTACCTGGGATTTTAAGGTAAATTCTCATTACAAATTACAGGTAAATCTAAACAGATTTAGCCTAAACTACTGCAGTAGTAAGAGTCACATTAAATAGCTCAACTTGCAAAGAAATTTTTACATAAATATTATAAATTCAACAAAGTAGAAGCAATAATAGATTGGAAGAATATCTACAACATACCAGGCATAAAAAGGGCTCCTTTTTTCTCCCTTACAGAGCTCATCCAATGAAAAAAAAAAAAAAAGAGGCCAGGAATGGTGACATATGCCTATAATCCCAGCACTGGGAAGGGTGAGGAAGGAGAATCACCATGAGTTGGAGGCCAGCCTGAACTGCACAGTGAGACCCTATCTCAAAAAAACAAAACAAACAAAAAAAGAAAAGTAACAGAGCTAAAAGATATAAACATGTTCCTGAGAGAAGAAAAAACAAATGACCAACAAAATTACAAAATGATTTTCAGCTTTACTCCTAAGTAAAGAAATATAAATTAAACTAGCAGATGGGCAAGAGTTTATTGAAACAGGCTCATCAAGAGCACCCTGGGTAGGTAGGGAAGTACCATGTTAACAATCTTTAAAAAGCATATAAAGGGTCGGGATCTAGCTCAGTGCTTCTGGTGCATGCCTTGCAAGCACAAGGTCCCAAGTTTGATCCCTGGTACCAAAAAAAAAAAAGCATATACACTTTGCACCATCAATCCCACTGGAAAACTCAAAACAACTAAAGTAACATCAATAGAACCTAATTACACTGGTACACTGGAATATTCTATGGTTCCTTTTTAAAACTGAGGTAGAAGTGGGCTGCAGTATATTTCCATTATGAAAATGAAAATGGGTTTGAATTTTAAAAAATAGCTTTTAAATACTGAACACAAACTTGAGTGTAATGTATCCTTAAAAACACTTTCAAAGAGGGCCGGGGCTTTAGCTCAGTGGTTTCGCTGCCTGCCTCGTAAGTGCAAGGTCCCCAGTTCAATCCCCAGTACCAAAAAAAAAAAACACTTTCAAAGAAACCAGTAACTAAAATTTATGTCAACAGTAAATATAATAATTATACTTGTGAGAAACCAATTCAAAAGATGGGCAAAGGTAAGATCCACACATTCCAGACCCACTTAGTAAAATGTTGAATCAACAACAATAAACACTGCTGAGATCAGGCACTGTGACTGTCACACTCCTTAAAAGCTGGGATTGTCAAGGTTAAGAAGTCTCAAATTTCATCCACCTCCAAATCTACTGGAATCTCACTCCTTGCCTCATTCCCTCGTCCATCACTTGTTATCTGTGCTGCCTTTATAGACAACTTTTTAGGTAAATCCTGTAGGAATGCAAAATGGGTAGACTGAAGCCATGAATTTGAACTACTTTTTAGGAAAAGGAGCCTCACACTTTCCATCACCATCTGTATACTGGAATAAACTCTAGTTGTCTAAAATCTGCATAAAATTTGAAATCTTTTTTAAGTGACAGACTGTGCCTTTGATGGTCTATGAATAATTTTTAATAAAATTATGGTCAAAAGTATTGGGAGCTGGGGGGATCTTTTGAGCATTGAAAACTAGTAACAGCTGGAGAGCTTCACCCACTTATGAGTTTACCTTCTCAACCAGTAAGGAGATTCAAGTAAAACAAAAGGTTAATTTCAGGATATGGTATGTTATACATGCTTTTTTTTCCAGTTTTTAATTTTGCTAAGGATGGTCTATTAAGTAAGGCTCAATTGAACTGGGTGATCTAAGGAATTTTTCAACAATGGAAAAAATAATTTTATCTATTTATTAAGAAAAATTGATTTTTCTGGTTCCATTTCCCAATCTAGTCTTAGCCTTTTAATTTTAAATAGTGAAAGGTCCATCCTGAACATCCAAAAGAGTTACTAAAAAATAATTTAAGTTCTAAAAATTTTACAAAGAAGCACAAAAAGACAAAGAAAAGGGCTTATTTCCAAAATAGCAAAAATTTAGCAACTATTAAAGAAAATAAGAACTTAAAGCCAATAACCCCAAATTGATTCAATTATTTCATGGAATTCATTTTCACAATACTTACATAAGACTCAAGTTTCAAATTTCAATCTTTGGAAATTTATGTTGAAATATTCATTAAATCTGAACAAAATTTAAAAAGCAAATCACTTTGCTGCTTATGCCTGAGGGCAAAAATCAAGGCTCTTTGAAAGACTTTTCTTTTGCATTTTACAAAGAACTAAAGAACTAATCACGCAGTAAGTAGTAAAGCATACAGATTTGTGAAGCAACTCAGCCCTAGTAGCTTCAATTAAAAAAAATAAAAATAACATTCCAAAATAACAAATCTCAGGGACAATCATATGGAGTTATCTCTTAACAATTCTGAGCCAGAGCTCTGGTGCACTTCCTCTCTCTATCCCCATTCAAACAGTGATTATACACTTTCTCTCATTTCTGTCAGCTCAGAGAGAACATTATAATTAAAATGGTAAGGCAGAAAAATAGCCAAGAAACTATAACTCAAGTATACAAGGAAGGAGAAACCTTATCTTGTGAAAGAGTTCCTGTATCTACATTTTATTTTCTTATCACTTCTATTTCTTTTTCTCCTCCTTCTAGTGTTAAATCAGCCCAATTCTGTAAGGAATTCTCTTTTGTGAATTTACAATTCATATAGAACAAACTAGAAACAGCTCACTCAGTTCAAAGCCATCCAAAGAATATTTAACAATCCTAGAAGAAATATTAGAGTTACGGGGAAAGGCTTCTTTTAAAAATGGGAAAACCAAGGCAGTTGTTTATGGTTCAAATTTTACATTTACAAAAGGAAATATGTAAACTGTCCTTCAAAATTAGTTGGAAAGCTGGGGATTTGGCTCAGTGGTTCTGCTGCCTGCCTTGCAAGCGCAAGGTCCTGAGTTCGATCCCCAGTATCCAAAAAAAAAAAAAAAAAAGTTGGAAAGCTTACTAGGATCTACCTTAAACATTAACTTTTAAAAGTATTTGGAAGGTTGTGAAGGGGTGGGTGAATAAAACAAATATCAAATGATGTATGTTAAATCATTTGCTTAGAAAAGATGAAGGATTGTATATATGTGAGTATATTTTTATAGAAGCCTTAAAATAAGCAATTTGCTAAATTATAGGCAATTAAATTCCAAAGAATTTTTTAGATTGGTACAACCCAACATTTTACAAACAATAAACATAAACCCTTCATACTTTCCAAGTATTCCTTTAACTCAGAAGCACGTTCTTATTTATAAACTTTTTTAAATGTTACCTCTTACTCATAAAACTAAACTTAATTTTTCCCTCCATCTCTGTATTTTAAGTACTAAATTTGCTTTTCAGAAATTAGCATCTTGTCATCTCAAACTGTATCAGACATTGACAGACATTAAGCACCCTATGTATTACCACATTTTTCTTACTCTCAAAACGAACAAATAAAAAGAATTAACTAACTGGGGATATAGCTCAGTGGTAGAACATTTGCCTAGCACAAATGAAGCCCTAGGTTTAATCTTTACAAGTACTAAAAAAAAAAGAAAGAAATTAAGAATTATTTAAGCCTTCAAATATCAGCTAAGTAATTAAGATTCTAAAATTTTTTAAGAGTCTTACTAATTTATCAGTACTAGGGAAGAAGCCATATACAAAGAATACTGTAGTATTTTGATGGGGAATTACTAGTTGAGTAATTTGCATAAATCAACAAACAAAAAATAAGGCATCACATTCCAAAAAGTAGTGCCAAAGAAGTATATGTGAAAACAGATTCTGGTCATGAAAATATAAATCAGTGCTTTTTAGCGAACAATCTGACAAGTTCTATCAAAAATTTAAATGTATATATTGTTTGGGCCAGCAATTCCAACTATGCTATATACCTGCAAAATTATAACAAGAAATATACACATGTATGCACATTTTCTGAAACATCATACAGTGTATAAGAGAAAAGAGGGGAGGAGGAATGAAAGGTAGCAGCGCCTATCTAATCTACATACAGTACTGTGGGTCTAAGCGTCATTTTAATTTTTTCTTTATAGACTGCAATGTTGGGAGGTAAAAACAAATGACAGTCTTTTAAGGGGGGAAAAAGATGGTACAAAGACTTTTCTATTTTTGTTGTTTTTTGTTTATTGGTTTTTTTTGAGATAGGGTCTCACTATGTAGTTCAGGCTGGCCTTGAACTCACAAAAATCTTCCTGTCTCAGCCACTTGAGTGCTGGGATTACAAACATGCGCCAACATGCCCTACTCCAAAGTTTTAACACAGAAAAAACCCAAAATTAGAGAAACAATTAAGTCAAGTAGATGCAATTTAATTGGAAGTTGAGATAAACCAATGGTTTAACATCTTAATTTTTTTTTTTTTTTTTGGTACTGGGGATCGAACTTGGGACCTCGTGCTTGCAAGGCAGGTGACGGCACCACTGAGCTAAATCCCCGGCCCCTAACATCTTAATTTATAAAGCCTTCTCTTTTCTATACCTAATGAGGACAACCCAAATCTCCTCAAAAATTAGCCTCATCTGAGCTAAAGTAATTAGTGGACTAATTTATAAGGTCCAGAACACACTGTGGCTAATTGGCTAATTTCACTGGTATAGGAAAGCATTATAGAAATAGTACAGGAAAAAAAACCCCTACCTTTAACTGTTTTTACAAATGTATGTTTTTCTTTATTTGGATCTTTTTCATCCACTAAAATTCCATGGAAAATACGCCCAAAGGTACCTAAAAGGAAAACAATAATTAATGAGATCATATAATAGCCTTCCAGTATAAAACATTCTAGCATGATAAAACTTACCAACACAAGAATATATGAGATCAACATTATTCTAGCCCTAGAGCACAAGGACACAAATTGTTGATATTTAAGAACTGTTAGAAGTCCTTTCTAACTATGAAATGTCTTAACCTGCTCTTAGAAATATCATATCAAAACCAAGTTTAGAAGAATTTTTTCTCAATTATCCTAAATAAACCAATAATGTAGCCAGGAACACTGGAGCTCAATAGTCATGTGAATTTCTAAGATCAGACTCAGACCAATGATGGAAAAAAATGGGTTCTCCTCTCTGCTTTAAAAAGTAACTTGCAGAGAAGCCCTTGGGGTACAGTGTTGGATTTAGGCATCCTGGTTTCCAATCTTTCTACTGCTCTCTACTTAAAAGGTCTCATAAGTTGCTTGTCCTCTCAGGTTACTGGTAAAATGTGTTCCTAAAAACTCTTAAGAGTAAGAAAAGAATCAATGACCTTTTTGGAGGCAAAGGAGTGGTTAAAAAATGAACTATACTGGGCAACTTAGCAACTTAGTGAGACACTGTCTCAAAATAATTTTAAAAAAGGGCTGGAGATGTGATTCAGTGCAAAGGCAAGGGGTTCAATTCCCAGCAACACAAAACAAAACACAACAATAACAACAAAAACTATGAAAATCCATACAGACTTTATTAGCAATTTCTTAATTGCTTTAAAAAGTTTCTTAGTGAGATAGTCATTGAAAATTAATCTTGTGCCACTCTTTCTCACAAGGTAATTCCAACTTTCCTTCCTTTACAAAGTTTTTTTAAAAAGCCTGCTTCATTACAGATACCACACATACACAGAGCCTTGCTTTATTGCCCACCACATCCAATGCTGAAGTTGCTGGTGTCCATCTATCAAGTCTCATTATGGCAAAGAGACACAGTAACTTGGATGCTTGAGGGAGAAAAGCTTCAGACAATCTTTACTTAAGATAATCTGCTTGAGCTGAGCAAACATCAAACATTCTAGTCAGTCCACTGTCAGAGCTGATACCTTGACCTGGCAGTGCTTTCCTCTACAAAAGGTTCTTCCCCTCTGTCCCATTCACATCTACCTGCTTTGATTGAGCTTCTTCAAACTCTCACAGCAGCACTGCAAATGCTCCTATCCAGTCTCTTCCCCGTACCTCATCCCATTGAAAATATTCTCCAATATTAATTTACACATGCTTAAAAGCAACTATTATGGAGGTGGGAATATATACTGAAGTACATTCTGGACCTATTTTACTTTATCACAATGTCACAGGAATTCATATTTCTACCAGCGATGGGTATGACAGCTTGCTCCTCATAACCCCGTCAGCCTGGATATTATCTATCTCTTTAATTTTTTCCATCTGACAGATGACAAGTAGTATAAAAGTACTGTTTGATTTGTACTTATCAGATGTTCAGTGAACCTCAATACTTTTTAAGATGTTAATTAGCCATGTTCTCTTTTCTGAAATAAGCGGAGTTTAAAAGTAAACTATTATAGCCCTGAAAACATCAAGAAAAACTGTTTCTGAATTTCCTCTTTTCCTCAAGTTATACCTCCAAAATAGATTACTTATATTATCCTATTTAAAGACCAAAAGAAGCTGTAAACATATCATTATTCAATGGTTGTCTTTCATTTCTTTGAATCTTTAGGAAATGCTATCTGATTTACTTTCTCTCTTCAGACTGCAGACAGATCCAAACACTAGTTTCATTTAGAAAACAGAAGTGGCATTTATACACTGAAAACCAGGCCAAAAAAAAGTTCTGCTTCCAGTAATGACCATTTGCCACTGGGGAGGGTTTAAGTCCCTCATTTAGCTATGATTATCACAAACAACAGATGACTACAGAAGGACTTCTAAGTACCCAAAATATAAACTGAATTATAACAGAGGCAAACAAAGTAATCCTCTATTGAATGTGAAGAGCTCAGTGCAGTATTTCATTAATTTCTGTCCAAATCTTTGAGCATCTGCCTAATCAATACTTTAAAACTCAAAAATCAGCCCGGCATGATGGTGCATGCCTGTAATCCCAGCACTTGAGAGGCTGCTGCAGGAGGACCTCTTGAGTTCGAGGGCAACCTGAACTATAGTGAGATCCTGACTCAAAAAGCCAAAAACAAACAAAGAAACAAACAAGAAAAAAACCACTCAAAAATCAAGGCAAGGAGCACCAAGAGGGGGAGGGGTACTATTATCTATGAAATACTATTATGTGTTAACTCATGTAATATACATAATTTCATCTAATCTTCATAACCAGTCTAAAACTTATGAAGACTATTTAGACTATAATAATAGTCTACATTTTAGAAGAGGAAACTAGAAATCTATGACATTAAATAATTTCTCTAAGGTCATACAGGTAAATAAATCCTAGAACTAGAACTTGAGTCTAACTACAAAGCTCCATTCCACCTGCTAGAACCCCCACATGATCCATCAGAGAAAAAGCTTAAAATATTTCAAAGAGATCTTCTAAGTAGTGATCATTTTAAATAAGAACAAAATAGAAAATACACCTTTAAGGTATCAAACACATATATATATGCTTTACTATATTTGAAAATGAAGAATTTCACCAAAGATGTATAAGGCATGTTAAAAATCTAAAGAAAGGGAAAATAAAAATCATTCTTTTTAAAAAATGATTTTGAGATAATAAATACCTTCTTGGAGAACATCTTTTAGTGTTATCCTCTCCCTGGATATTGCTATATCCTTCACCTTGGCTTTGGCTTCCAAAAGAGTGACACTTCTCAGGTCGTTCTTCTCTATCCGCAAGGTTGGATAACCTGAGGAGCCAACAAAGCCAAACCAAGCAATATAAATACCCTTACTATGGTACCAGGATCAACCAGTCCAGCCAGAACCTTAAAATCATGAAAGGAAGCAGGTGGATACATGAATCAGAGAGCTACATATAAAAGACACTAAATTTTAAATGCTCTGCCACCTACAATACTACCCTCAAATGTTCAAATATACAATTAAAACAAAATGATAAAAATACTACTACTACGGTCAGCACTTCAAATGCCTCTCAGCCAAATGAAACAAGCTTTGATTCAGAGAATGTAATTTAATCCCCCAGGGTAGTTTTTCTCTCCAAAGACGTTTAACTATAGTCATATAACAAAAGTATTTTTCAAATGAAGAGATGTTTGAAAAAAACATCTTTTCTAACAAAATACACTATCAATAGATTTACTCTAGTATCCCCACAGCCTAGTCACACCATTGTGAGATTAAAACTTAAGTTCCTTTAATTCCCATTTGTTCTTAATAACAGCAAAAATAAAATATATACTTTCAAATTAAAGTTTTTAATCCAAGAGAAAAAGTTTGAATAAAAGGAAGATCCAGGTTAGCAAACAAATTCAAATGGTATCTCCAATGATTTTTTTTTCCCCAGTAGTGGAGATCAAACTCAGGACTTTCTGCTTGCCAGGCAGATGCGGTCCAATGATTTATGAGCTTTGGTAGATTATGGGAAGAAAAATGTCTAAAGAACTAATGTACCTATGCAATGATCATCACTGGCTGCCAGAGGGCTGGGAAAAAAGAGAAACAAGAACACTCCACAGGCTGCACATTCCAGCCTAGGGTACAAAACATCTGGCTGCCATGCTTTTAGCAATGCTGTTTTATTAGTGGATTCAGGGAGTGAGCTGATTCTTCAATGGTAAAGTTTCTCATATCCCTTTATTCTTAAAGTTTTAATCACTCATGATCTTTCCCAAATGAAGTATTTTGTTAGGGGTTGCAAATGTGATTTTCTAATTCTATCATTCCTTCTACATTTAGTAGGTAGGAATCTCCTGTAAAGAAAGACTGTCCCTCATCAATTAGCACCAACTTGTTTCCTAGAAATATAGTTCATATAGTCAGTTGTTAGAATGAGGTATTATTAGAGCTTTAGTTGTTCATAATGAACAATTTTTTAAGTGTATTAGAAATTTATATTTATACAAATGTATAAAATAATACATTTTATGTTTCCATCTATTGTAGTTACTATTCTTTTTCTTTGATGGTTCCATCTTTGGCCAGTGAGAATTCTTCCAGTCTTTAGTAGCTTGTCCCAGACCTGGTATCAGCCATTTGTCCAAAGAATTCTTGTTCTTTTGAATGGGAAACAGTACTGAGAATCACAACAGGGCACTGGGTAGAAGGCAGATATTCCTAACCTTATTTTATTTAGAGTAAATGTCAGCTCAAGGAAGATAGTTACTTGCCTGTAAAATCCTAATTAATCAATGGTACCTCTGAATCAAGGCATAATCTTTGGCTCTCTGGCCTACTCTATCCTAATTATGTTATGTTTGTATTTGTATGTAAATGATTTTTCATGTGTAAATTATATTCTATGAATTGTTTTATTCCATATTGTATACATATATCATCACCACTTCTCAGCCTTCTGGCTAAGATCAAGTGTATACATATAGCATAACTGTTAGGGCTACCTAGATGCCCCACCAAAGCCTCACGTGGTCATAGGTGGGCCTTTTCCAAGGTGGCTGGATCTAGAGTGTGTGATACTAGAATTAAGCATGTGATGTTGGGATCAAGGATGTGTGATTACTAAATTAATCCACTGATAGGTTAGGCATAGTTCTGGGTGTGGATAATGGGGAAGCCCAACCTGGATGTGAGCCCACCCAGACAGAATATAACGGACAGAAAGAAGGCTGCTATTGTTGCTTCCTGCTTGCTACTTCACTGCTGGCTGCCTTGTGCCTTCCCTGCTTTGTGATGGACTGTTCCTCCTCTCTGATGCCACCCTACCTTGGAGCCAGCTGACTATGGACTGAAACCTTTACAAACCATGAGCCAAATAAACCTCTTCTCCTTTAATTTTAGGTGCTGGGTATTTTGTCTCAGCAACAAGAAAAGTAACTAAGACAATCTCGTCGTGTATAATGTGCATAATGAAGTGTGTGAAAACATAAAAGGAAATTAGGTCTCATGTTCTCAATCTTCCAATGGTAGCTAGCTTCCCAATATGATTAGAAATCACTGTAGAGGGCTGGTGATACAGTTTGGTGGTAGAACACCAAACAAATCAAAAACTGTAAAATTTTTACATGGTCCATCAGACTATCAAACAATTCACTAAAACCTAAAGTTTCTGTGTTTATATAGCTGAATAGCTTATTTTATAGAACTGTTTGAAAACCTTCTAAATGTCTACAGAATTAATTTTATAAGGCTTTAATATAATCATGGACATCTCAAGGCAAAACTAAATTCTTGCAATTTAAATTTTAATATTAATATTCCAATTTTAGAATATTTTATTCACTGCTCTAATAAAACCTGCAGATCCCATCTAATTTGCACAAGTTGGATATTAACACACAATAGTACACAAGTCCTACAAATACATTAAGTATGAAGGGCCACTGACCAGCCACAGGAAACTGGTAATTGCATTAGAATTAAATTAACTCTTACTGGTGATGGGAGTTGCATTGTTGGGTGTGTCAGCCCTCAGGTACTGAGTTGTCTGGGTGGATGGCTGGGACAGCCCCTGGGAACTACTGCTGGCACTGATGCTGCAAATGATTTTTAAGAGAAAAATATTTCACAAATTGGCTTCAATGAGAAACTTCTTTTTCATACATATAAAATGTGTACAGCATTATAACCTGCTGAAAATCCTGATGGAGGTCATAATAATTCATGGATCTCTGTATCACAGTGCTCCATATTGAAACTTCAATCTCCCCCACTGTGTAGAGTTCTATTTTTTCTTTCATTTCTATCTCCAAACTCATTAGGGCAGTTCATTTTACCAAACTCATTCAGAAATATAGGTGCTAGTCCTCAGACAGCAGGCCTGAACCTCACTCAAAGATATTGTAGGATCACCTACAATACGGATCACCTACAATATGCATCACCTCTCAAGAAAAAAATCCGTCCAATTCAACTAAACTGCCTTTTAGAAAATAGAGTAACAGGCCACTTTTACTAACGGCTCCAAATCAAATGGCCAAAAGATAAGGGATATCAAACCAAATCAAATGACAACATGCTCAAATCCTGAGAAGTATATCTAGTTCAAGTTTGTTTAGTCACATATATTTTGCTTTTTCTACTTTCTAAACTCTTAAAGAATTTATGGATGTTCTCATATTACTGATACATGCATAACCATGTTTATAGCAGTCCAATTCATAATAGCTAAATCTTGGAAGCAGCCAATATGACCATCAACAGATGAATGGATAAAGAAAATGTGATATTTATACACAATGCAGTACTACTCTGCCATAAAAAAGGATGAACTTGCAACATTTATAGAAAAATGGAGGCACCTTGAGACCATCATGTTATGAAATAAGACATATATAAGCTAAAATATCAGATGGTTTCTCTTATACGAGAAACCCAAAATATAAATAAAAAAACAGATAATAGAAATTAGGAAGATAGCTGCAAATGGGAAGGGAACCAAGAGATGGAGGGAGTAGGAAAGTTGGGGAGGGGAAAGGATGAAAAAAGAATTAAAATGTGTTATGTACATGTACCAACTCCCACAAGGGATGTGATCATTATGTACTGGAAACATGTACTAATAAAAACAAAAATTGAAAAAAACTTTACAAATATTCTCCAAAGTCTCTAGTACTTGAAACAGATTATACCATGTTCTCTAAATAAACCAGAAGATTCAAAAGACAGTAGACTCAAATAACTAATCCTGTACTTGAGTCTACTACAAATTAATGGTTTCCAAACATATTCTGTCTCTTTTCAGTGGATAGCAAACTTGTCCAAGGTCACCATTAGGCATGCTCCAGTCTCAATGACTTAGCCCTTGTAATTTTGCAGTAGTGGAGAAGTGAAGCACAAAAATTTAGCACAAAGAATGAAATCAGAAGTTGGGCATAAGTGGTGCAGCCTGTAATCCCAGTATTCCAGGAGACTGAAGCACGAGGAGGATTGCAAGTTTGAGCTCAGCCTATGCAATTTGGCAAGAACCTGCCTCAAAATAAAAATTTAAAAAAAAAAAAAAAAAAGCTAAGGCTGTAGCTCAGTGCAAAAGCCCTGGGTCCAGAACCCAGTTTCAAAATCAGTACAGCCTAGAGCTCCAACTTTCCTAAGTATGCAAAATCTTTTAACGGACCATTATCCACAAGACAGCTCTCTATGTTTCTAAAATCTGATCTTAAAAATACATAATGACAAAGGCATCTATGTAATCTGCAACACTTATATATGAATCTATATTTTAGCAATTTCAAGAGCCCATACTTACAACTGAAAAATGTAAATATATAACATCCAGGCAATGAACACTGTAAGCCCTTATGTCATCTTTATCATTAATAACACAATCTATCATTTGTGATTATAACTAAAACACTTCTGGAGAAGTCACAGTAAAAATTAGGACATGAATGTCCTCTAATAAATATATGGAGCACACCTATACATAAGCCATTCTGCTTAGCATACCATGTATCTGAAAATGCCTATATGTCTAATGAAATGTTTAACACAGCTTCCTGTAAAACTGTCTGTAACTTCAGATTATCTAATTTTTCCTCTGAGACTAGTAAGCCCTATCTCCTCTGCTGAAGATATTTTGCAACACTGAGAACACAAAGAGCATCCTTTGATGAGTTCTGGAAGAGCCTTTAAAGCTGCAGTTACTCATGAATTGATCTGAGTGTACACATGTAGTAGGCATGGGACAGTGCATTACAGACAGAAAATGTAAATCTTGAAATAATGACTTCCAGCACCACCAATACTAGCTGCATGACCATATGCAAATTATTCCACCCCTTTGGGGCCTCAAATTCCTCATGTACAGAGGAGTATGATATTAAACCCTAATAAGACTAAGAAGATTATGTGAAATATAATTAAAAGTGAAGCATTCAGCATAGCGCCTAGCCCTCAGACATATAAATTATTACTAATTGTTTTCATTACAATTATGCATCTGCAATCCTTATAATATATTAACTATAGAGGGTAAATTTTCCAGGTCTGAGTAGTACTCAAGGGTCAGACTAGCAATCAAAGTTGTTAAAAGTCCAGTATTCAGTGATGGGAGAGAAGCTTTACCATCCTCAAAGTGGGAGGAAATAGAGGACTTCAGGTGGCTTACCCATAAATTAAGAAAGCCTATCTCAGGAGACTTTTGGGAGATTCAAATTCATGAGGTATGTGAAAGCATAGCTTAAGTACTATCTGCAACTAATTTCACTGACGCCTGAATAAATGCAGACCTCATTTCTTCCCATCAACTGAACAGCAGGTGGCACTCTTGTGCCACGTCAGAATTATTCAGAAGATTGTGAGTACAGTCAGAAGAGTCATGGGTTTATCTATGACAATTTCATTGATTCAACAGATATCAAGTGAAGAGGGAGGATAAAAACAGTAATAAGCAAAGCACTATGCTAAGTATGCACAAAAAACTTTCTTTGGAAACCAAGTCTTACTGCTGTAAGAGAAGCAAGGAGCAGTCAGGGAACCCACCCAACACCTATTAAAACCTTACCTTCACTGATACATCACAGGAGGTAGGAAATGAGTTTAAAATGTATATGTTAACATTTTCTAGTTTAAGACCTGCCTAAGTAAATTTGGTTTTCATAAGAAAATAAGATTAGTTATGGAGATATTAAGCCTGCTTTAGAATCAAGGTAGGATTTTAGGCAAAGATCGTGATTTTCTTTCAAAATGCTAAATTACAATTTGTATTTTTCTGTGTAATTCATTTATTTGCTCATTCATTCAATAACTACTAAGTTTCTACTACATGCCATGTACTGTGTTAGGTGCTGGATATGTAGCAGTGAACACAACAAAGTTTCCTACTCTACACTGCAGTTGGGATTTCAAGTTTAATCCCTAAAAAGACTATAAACTCTAGGAGGGCAGGAAGAGCATGTTTGTTTACTCCTCCTTCCCAGCCCTTAGCCAGTGTGGCAAAAAAAGTCCCAAGTGGGTCCAACTGAGTGATACTGAGAGCTCGGAAAACAAGGAATTAATCATCTAGAGAAAACCATACTTTCATGGAAGAAAAAAACAAACTAGACATGAGTTACTAATATATGCAGAAAAAGACAAAGAGTTACTGGTATAACAAAACAGTCTTTTGCTTCCCTGCAGCCATTCATTCAACAAATAATTACTGAGCATCTCACTATATGTCAGATACTGTTAGACACTGAGTATTGAAAAAAGAGAAATAAATGGGTTTTTGTCACCAGTAATGGCAGTGGTAGTCAGGTGGTAAAGATAATAGAAACAGAAAAAGAAAATAGAGATCCTTCCAAAGAACAAATTCAAGCAACACACAAAAAAGGAGTGAATTTTCCCAGTCACAAACAGTGTGGATACACTGGAGATCAACCTCTCCATGAGAGGATTTTAGGGCGAATATGAAGAGAAGCTCTGCCTAAGACAGATGACACTGGCTTGAAAAAGAGCCTGAAAAGATCAATTTGTAGTGTTGGGAGAGGGAAAGCCAAACACATGGGTTCCAAATGTCCCTGGCATGAACACATCACAGACAATTTTATTCTGACTCTAAAGGAGCTCTCTGTATAACTGTAGCCTGGTTCCTGAGTGCCTACAATGGAAGAGGCCTCTACTAAGGAATTCCATGGAACCGTGTGTGTGTTCCATTAAACCTCACAGAGCTGCTGGGAAGATAAATGGAGTTAATGACTATAAGACACATGGAACAGAGTCTTACAGATGCTTCATCAATTACAATAGTAGGTTATTACAGTACAACTATTACAATAATGCATCCCTCTGGCTCTGGCCTGGTCCTAATAGTGCAGTCCTGAAAAAGTTATTTAATCTCTGTAAGCCTGTTTCTTCATCTTTAAAAGAAGAACATTAAGTGGCCCCATGCAGAATGCGAAGCAGCAGCTATTTCTTAAATGCTATTAGATTACTGGATGGGAAGCTTTTGGTCACCACCATTAGCTTGCTTGGTACATAATAAATAACTGCTAGTAGGATAGGAAAGAAGTAAAGAAGAAATCATAACTAGCACAGTGCAACTTCCTGAAAAGAAAAATTGTTAATAATGGCACTTACTAAATGTAGGTCTACATTCTAAAAGCTCTCAGTATAATTTCATTAAAACCTAACAATGTCCCTAAGAAGGTATGTTCCTCTACGTTATAAATGCAGAGATTTGAAACAGAGAGAGGCTATGTTACTTGCTCTATCTAGTCCATAAAGCTCATAAGAAAAAGAAGACTTCACACAGAAACATATATAGCTCCACAAGTTACGCTCTTTACAGTGAGCTGTGCTCTGAGAAAAAGTGATAATACAAGTCGCTTTTACTGAGACAATGTCTAGAAACCCCTTTCCTGAAACCTAGAGAGAACTGTAATACCAATTCACAGGTGGTGACTATTTCAACAGGCAGAAGTATATGTCCCATGTAATCTGAAAAAAATTTCTACACAACTTTGGCCCATATAAGTTCACAGGCCTAACACACACATACACACACAAAAACCAGCATTCAAGGAAAATGCAACTCTCTGGGTGTATTGAGACTGACTTCTAATGTTATGTCCCTTAGTGATTTGCATTCTACTTGTATCCTTTCTCAAATTCCTATAAATATATTTCTCCTACTTCTTTTTTCCCCATAGTTGTTTCCAAATGCCATTTCTTACCCTGTAAAATCTAAATCTAATTTCAACAACACCAAGCACACAAAATATATTTTGAAACACATCACCAGAGTACTTCCTCTCACATTCTTCTTTTCTCTTCTCTCTCAAGGAAGGCAAGTTAACACAATGGAGACAGAGAGTGCCTAGGTTCTTATTTATGCCACAAATATGTTTATCTACTGTGTGTATAACTGTATAACTGTGGTAAGACTGAGGACTGCACAAGGAGTAAGACACTCTTCTCCCTAGTTGCAAAGAGCTTACAAGCTAGTAGGAGGTAGAAGACAAGTGCACAATAAGTTACAAATAGAAAAAGCACAATTGCCACCAAAACAGAAAGATGGAGAGGAAAAAGAAATGGATGGCAGGGAGACTTGATTTGGAGTGATAAAAATACAGGGAAAGGAACCCTTCTCCATTGTTGGTGGGAGTGTAGACTGGTGCAACCACTGTGGAAATCAGTATGGAGATACCGCAAAGAACTAGGACTGGAAGTCCCATCTGACCCAGCTATTCCCTTGCTGGGTATCTTCCCCAAAGAATTAAAAGAATCATACCACAGTGATATATGGGCACCCATGTTCATAGCAGCAGAATTTGTAATAGCTAAAACTTGGAAACAGCCCAATTGCCTATCAACTGGAGACTGGATAAAGAAAATGTGTTTTTTTAAATAAAATGGAGTATTACTCAGCCATAAAAAATGAGAGATTAGAGACATTTATAGCTAAATGGATGCACACTAAGGCCATACTCTTAAGTGAAATAAATAGGACACACATGTGTAAATAATGACTAGTTTCTCTAGTGTGATAAACTGAAAGTGTACATAAGGACTAAAAGCTATAACAGATAATGTGAAATAGGAAGAAAAGAGGCTAAGGAGCAGTGGGAGGGATAGGGAAAAGGAAAGAGGGGAATGGAATTAATATGAGAAAAAGAAAAAATAGAAACAAAGTGTTGGTAAATAGGGAGGGATGGAGGAGTTGAATGGAGGGCAGGGGAATGGGGAAAAAATAAGAAGCAAGAGAGAGTAAGGTGCAAATTTCCAATGATAAATGTCAAGTGTATACCTAAAAAGTACCAATAAAATTAATTTTAAAAAAATAAAATAAAATCCTTGACACTGTGAACTGTATCATTAATTTTTGTATTTCCAACAGTTACAGAATGTTGGCGAGAGGAACTAGAAAGAAAAAAAAGGATTATTTTTAAAAGGCAATAGGAGTCTGGAGTATAGTTATATCTTTGGGGATAGAAATGTATATTTCATCTCCATTCTTCCCTAAGAAGAAAGACATGAGAAACTCTGACTTCACAAACTTTAAAAAATAAAAAATAAAATCAGACAAACACAAAGACAGTGATTGTGATATCTTATCTTTCCTTATTACCCTCCCCCCTTCTCCTGTAGCGGTGTGCTTGTGTCTGGGCTTTCATATACATGCGAATAACTTTTATTTCTTCCCTTCCCAAAAATGTACAATACCTGTCATCCAGTTCAATTCTTTTCATACTGTGAAGGTGCAAAACAGCTAGTATTATTGCTACAAGAAATATTACTGCACAACAAACCCCTACACTGATATAAAATACACGCGTAGAAGTGGTTGGAGCTGCATGTACAGGATCATCTGAAATAAAAATGAAAAGCACATTAAGCTTTTTAAACAAATAAGATTGATTGCTTTCTGATTTAAAATACACACTGAGTATCCTGTTTTTTGTGAAATGTAATGGTGTTGTACACCTAAAATGTACCAATAAAAGAATTTAACAAAAATAA